AATACGTGTGTGGACTGCCCCCAAGAATCCGGAGACTGGAGGAGAGAGCTCAAGGGAGAGCCAAGCAGTCACCCATCGTTCCGTTTAGTTGGATTTATAATAGAGACGTGCAGCTCTGAATGTCTCTCTCCATCTGCTATCGGTTGCTGGTGATCTATGTGAATTGCAGTCCAGATTGCAATTCACATCTAGTTCAATGGATATAATATTATGCATAAATTGTAGTAGATGCAGTCATTTGTGTCATTCGTTAGTTCTTCGTATAGGCTCTAATTACATTATATTCTCTCTCTGTGTGTGGTGGTGGCGTCGTTTGTTTCTGTTTTTTCATCTGGTGCTTTAGACTAAACATTTTGATCAACTTCAATGTGAAATTTTGATGGTGTTGTTAAATAGATACTCATATTATTTGCTTGAAAAACTATGGGATTTCATGCACTCATGCATGTTGTGTCTCCAGCTACATGAGAGGTGACCCCGGATTGTGGTCTACTATTGACCTTTTCATATTACAAGCTAAGAGCATGTTTGGGAATAGCGTTAGAGATTAGTGTTAGCGTTTTGAAAAGACTATCTACGGGTAGCATTTAGCATTAGCATTTTTAAAGTAATTTGCACCGTTTAAATTTTATCCAAAACGCTGACGCTAATCTCTAGCGCTATTTCCAAATAGACCCTAAATAAATTAAACAAATTAAAAAATAAATGTACTTCCATGATTGAGCTTGTCTACACGGCTAATCCTTGGCCGAGTCTGTCCACTCGGAGATAGAGTCGTGGTCGACAAAGAGATTTATGCAGCTCACACGAATCAATGTCGCTACAATATGGGCACGTCAGGACGAATTCATCGAATGGGAAATAACCTACACAAGCCATGTTCCACCAACCAGCGACAAGGACTAGACGACAATGGAATATCACAAGGTTCCATACAATAGCTAACCGACAAATAAGTGTCAATCATGGGGTATTACCGTTGAAGCTAGCAGTACTATAAATACTCCTATGCCATTACTTGTAAAGGGGATCCGAATCCTAAGGTATCAGCACTCTTACTCTTGCATTCTCTCACTCTATTTAGGGTCTGTTCTTTAGGACTGGAAAAAAAGAGCTGGAAACTAGAAGAAACTGGAAGGAACTGGAAGAAACTGGAAGAAACTGGAAAAAACTGGAAGGAACTGGAAGAACTGGAAGAAACGGGAAGGAACTGGAAGAAACTGGAAGAAACTGGAAAAATTGAAAAAAATTAAAAAAATTAAAAGAAATTGAAAAAACTAGAATAAACGGTAAAATCTAAAAAAAGTTTTTAAAAAATTTTATGTGTGGTTTTAAATTATTCTCATTCTGATTCTTGTTGATATAAATTATTATTATTACTGTTATTATTATTATTATTGTTGTTGTTGTTGGTGGTGGTGGTGGTGGTGGTGGTGGTAGTGGTGGTGTTATCACGTTATCCAAATGATTGTCTTTAAAATAAAAAAATATTACGAATATTATTTTTCATAGATAAAAAGATAGTTTAAAAAATTAATTAGAATATAAAATTAGCATAAATATCAAAATGTTAAATAGTTAAGAGTTATTATGGCTATGCTGTATTTATTATAAAATAATATATTTGTAATTATATTATATACATTACAAGATTTTGTTTTAAATATCTGACATGTCACATAGTGTAATCAAACTTATTTTTTCTTTAAGGATTGACAATTTATTTCCATTGTAACCCTACTTTTTGAATAAAAACATAGAACTTGTATTATTCATATTAAAAAGTTGAAGAAAAAAAAATAATGTATGTGAATCATAAAAATAGTGAGATGAAAAAATGAAATAATTTATAAACTATAGTTATGAACATAAAAATTGTAATTAAAAAAAATTGTAATAATAATAATTATTATAATAATAATATATTTTTTTAGAGAGATTTGTCAGAAGGTAGAAAGAATTTGAAGAAAATAAATATAGTTGGAAGAAATTAGAAGAAACTGGAAAAAACTGGAAGAAACTGGAAAAAACTGGAAGAACTAGAAGAAACTGGAAGAAACTGGAAGAAACTGGAAAAAACTGGAAAGAATTGAAAGTTAAGAGTTCAAGTCCTAAAGAAAAGGCCCTAAGTGTCTTTGCTTACTCATCTCACCCGACCCCATGGTCGGTCTATTAATTAAGAAAATAAAATTTATATATTTAAAATTTACGTCAAAGATTTTACAAAATTAAACAAGACGTGACAATAATATTTTAATGAGTAGCAAAGAAGACAAAAAAAAATAACTTTCTCATTGACATGTGCAAACACAAATTCAGGCCGAATCTGAGCCAGGCCGAAGAACTCCCACTGACCCCAAATCCTTTCTCTACTGGAATCACGGCCGCCACATTCCACACATCTTCCTTATATGCCCTCGCTCTCAGTGTCGTTGCACCCCTCAGAGCTGCCATAGTTTTTAAATGTCAGAACTAGATATTCTATTTAATTTAATATTTTATTGTAATTGTACCCAAGTGTCCTATGGCTCATTTGATTGATTGTCGTAATGACACATTTCATTAGATTGGTTATAAACTACCCCCCGGCAACGACACCAAACCCAATAAAATCCCACCAAACTAGGAGCTAGGGAGGCTAAGGGTGAGCATAGTACGGTATGGTACGGTATTTAGCTCGTACCGATACTGTACCAAATATTTCGATTCGGTATGGGATTTTGCTCCGTACCGATCCCAATCCCGAAATATCGGTTGGGTATGGTTCAGGATGGTTCGGTATCGGTATCGGTACAAATCAGGATAAATATCCTTTATTTATTAAAATTTAACAATACTCCTTTATTTTTGAAAATTAAAAGTGAATTTAAATAAAAAAAATATGAAAAATTAAAAAAAATGAATATTTAAATGCAAGAGATGCGTATCAAAACTTAATTTATATTTCACAAACTAAAAAAATGAATGACAACAAAGGAGTATTTCGAATATTTGCGGATACTTTTATGTTCATACACAAAAATTAAAACTCAAATAAAAGTATAATTTATACATCATAGAACTTGAACCATTTTTTTAAAAAAATTACTCCCTCCGTCCTAATTCTTTCTTCCCAGTTTGACTTTTCCCCATTTTTAATTTTTGGCTTTGACTTCACATTTTACCCTCCTTAAAAAATATTTTTTGAATTTTTTTTTTTACAATCATTCAAAATATAGAGTTAGAAGATAATTGGTGTAAATACATGAGGGTATTAATGTCATTTGTCATCTTTTTTTTTTAATGGGAAGATAGTTTTAGGACGGAGAAAAAGGGGAAGTGAGAAAAAAGTTTTAGGACGGAGGGAGTATTATTTAGTGAAGGAATATAAAAATATTACTTCGGGGTATTATTTTTATAATATTTTAGTATATATGTTCGGTACGGGATTTTCGGTATGGGAGGTCACCTCGCAGCGTTCCCGAATACCGTACCGACCATTCGGTTCGGTACGGTTCGGTTTCTTCTCGGTACTTTTTCGGTTTGGTATTCTCGGTTTTTTCGGGTAATTTTGGTATCGGTTCGGTAATTGTTCGCCCCTAAGGGAGGCTGTGTACGTAGACTCCACCTCACTCAAAACTCGAAAGTAGAGAGATGGATTTCAAATAATAAGTTTTACAGAAACTGTAACCAATATTACGAAGTCAACTAAATTTAGGGATGCCACAGAGAAGGGAGGGGGTGGATTCGATTTGGTCTAGGGTTGGAGTTTAGTGGAGATAAGAAAGTATAGGAGCTATCAATTTTACGAATAAGACACTCTAGGCATTTCACATGAGCTAAGAGATATACCCATATTTGGTCCATCTAGTTTGGCCGGGCCATTCACCGGGATTTTGGGTCCAAAATCAAGAAAAAAAAACATGTAAAATAAAATAGAGGTCATAAATATCACAATTTTTCAAGAGTAATACGACTAGAAAAATATAATCCAACACAGAAACAAGAAAAAAAATACAAAAAGAATAGTTGTGTAGTAGCCTCTAATTTCTAACACATTAAATAGAGTGAATACCCAAAATGATCTTTTCTAAGATGTTTTCTCAAATTAGTTCTTAAAAAGTACTCCCTCCGTCCCAAAAAGATTTACACGTTTCAAAAAAATTGCGTCCCACAATCCCTTACTCATTTCTATTAAAAAACCACTTTTACCCCTTACTTTTTCAAACCCTACCAATCACATCATACCTTTTTCCTAATAATCTACACATCACATCCTACTTTTATCAATCACATTAAGGGTATTTTTGGAAAGTCAACACAAAATTATCACTCCCTTAATTTCAACTTTAGTCAAAATGAGTAACACTTTATGGGACGGAGGGAGTAATAATTACCAACGTATTTCTTTGTAATTGAGATATATTCCCCAAATAGTACTCTTCCAAAAATGTCTATTGAATATTAGTCAAATAGAAGGTATTTTGATATTTTCTATTATCTAGACTTAAAGTATTTTTCAAAATTCTCCTTTATAATTAATTATTTTTACAAACTGATAAATTCTAAATAAATATTTTTTGAAAAAGAGTCCATGAGTCTACTTAGGGTGGGTTCGTATCTCTAGCAACCACTCACTAAATTTGAAAGAACCATTTTGAGGATTTATTCATAGTTTAGATGATGCAAAATACAAAAATATCATTCACTTAATTTTCATTTAATAGAAATTTTTGACAGAGGACTATTTAGAGAATACATCTCAATTACAAAGGACCATGATGGTAATTATTGTATATTAAGGACTAATTTAAAAAAATACCTTATTAAAATGAACGATTTTAGAAATTTATTTCATTAAACATGGCGAGATGTGACATGCAAAACTGGCAAGTTGTAATTGACAACACATTATAAAAATATACTCCGTATTTTCTAATATTATATTATAGAGTAATTTCATAAAAGGTCTCTAGTTATAGACCGTTTTACATATTTAGTTCCTACATATCAAATATCAATAATTTAGTCCACAATTATTATATAGTTTTCCATAAATAGTTTTTTGTTAGCATTTCCGTTAAGAACATTGTTAAAATTATATATTCACACCGCCCTCTCTATCTCTCTCTCCAATTAAACTTCATCCTTTCTCACATATTCATTCTCAAACCCGTGTTGAGTTTGAAGCTTTAAACCCAAAACGATCATTATTCTCTCAATTGTTCATCTTCCTGGTGAAATCCAAAATCGAAACCAATAACCTTCCTGAAATGCGAGAGGAGAAAGGAAGCTTAATTGAAGAAAAAAGAAAAGCATGAATTTACAATTTTATCCATGTTTTTAACGAAAAATGTTATCAAAGGACGATTCGTGAAAAACAATATAATAATTGGGAACTAAATTATTGATATTTGATATGTTAGAATTAAATATGTAAAACGAACTATACTCGGAAACCTTTTATAAAATTTACTCTATATTATATATTCATAAAAATAGGCGGGCTTGCCGACCTTAACATGCCAATCTTAATTCTTGGGAATTGATAAATACACTCCAAAAATGTTAGTTGCACTCCACACGTCTCTTTTATGGCTAGGAATTGGCAAATTTGTCCTTTAAAATTCTTCATTTAATGACATATTTTCCACAAATTTCTTTTAAGGAAAAATACATTGATTGTGGAAAATATGTCATTAAATGTGACCTTACTTAGATAGGATATCTTCTATAGGGTCGCACCTCTAAATATTTCATTTTTAAAACTCAACATTAACCTCAATAAGGTTTTTTAAATGGACTTAGCGTGCATAAAAAAATTCAATTTTTAAAATCCTGAATTTTTCTAATTTAATTTGAAATAGTTTTATTAAAAAAATTTGAATAAATTCCATAATTGGTCCTTTATAACATGGGGGTTTCCATATTTATTCCTTTATTATCAAATATTACCTCCGTAATCCTTTTTTAAGGGTACCTTTTCACAAATGGTCCTTTTTTTGATCTTTTGCCGTGTTGGTGTTAATTTAAAGGCTAAAAGTTTAATTTGACATCAACATTATGTCTAGTGACGTGTTCTGATATTGGTTAAGCGGATAACACAAAAATAATGACTATAATTGTGAGCTAGGATTCTGACGAAAGATCACATTTGTAGACTATCGTTGTCGTAAAAAGTGACTGTAATTCACAAACGACGCAAACGGAACAGCCTTTAGAATTGTGTATGATAAAAAAGATATATTATCATGTGAAATTATACTTTTAGCCCTCAAATTAACACCAACATGATAGAAGATCAAAAAAAGGACTATTTGTGGAAAGGTACCCATAAAAGAAGGACCACTAGGATAATATTTGATAATAGAGGACTAAATAGGGAAACCCCCCTGTTATAAAGGACCAATTATAGAATTTTGAAAATTTTGAATTTTTTTTTTCTACAAAGTATTTTTTATCTATTTTTTTATGTTTTTTCCTTTTTTCTATTATTCTGGAGTAATGTTTTTACTATTCTAAAGATTTTAAATCCCAAATATTTTTAATACATGTAGAATTTTAAATCCCCATGCAGAAAGGCATTATTCACATCCAGCTGATCAACCTGCCAACCCCGTGCAACAGCAACAGATAATAAAACACTAATAGAAGCTAACTTAGCTACAGGGGTGAAGGTATCAGTGAAGTCAATGCCCAATTCTTGGTGATTCCCCAGTACCACCAGACGAGCTTTGTCGTGTTCCTTTGTGCCATCAGATTTGTATTTGGTACGGAACACCCATTGACACCCAAGGGCTCTGTGGTACGGTGGTAGAGTAGTGATGTCCCAAGTGTGGTTCTGGACCAAAGCATTAAACTCCTGTGCCATAGCCTCTCTCCAAGAGGCATACTGTACAGCTTCCTTAAAATTTTTAGGAACCGGGAAGCATCAATTGCACCAAGAAAACCTCTGTACCTGTCATGCAACTTATCATAATGAACATAGTTAGTAATAGGGAACCGAGTACCTAACAAGACCGAACCGGATGAAGAAGAGGGCGGAGTATCAACTGTTGCGGAATTAAGGACATAATCATTCAGATGAGAAGGTAGACGACGGGTACGTGGGGGTAAAAGGGGACTGGAGAATCGGAGGGAGAAGTGGTCTCCCCCGAGGAAGACGACGGGCTGACGGACGGAACGTCGCTGGTCGGCGACGGAGAAGGAGAGGAGACGGTGGCGGGCTAGCGGGTATGACGGCAGTGACGGGACTGGACTGCTCGGCGGGAGTGACGTGACTGGGCTGCTCGGCAGTCGGGTTGAGGGACTGTGACGGAGGTATTGGAAAGTCCTCGGTGGACAGATTTAGGACAGGCAGAGGAGAAGGGGAAGAGGCCGGGACAGCGAACGAGAATTGAGTTTCGTCGAAGACGACATCCCGGGTGTGAAAAAAATTATGAGTGTCAAGATTATAAACCCGCCACCCTTTTGTACCGTAAGGGTACCCAACGAACATACATTTGACACTACAAGGAGAGAATTTATTTGTGGGTTTGGGATTGAGACGAACAAAACATAAACAACCAAAGACGCGGAGATGACTTAAATCTTGAGGCTTCGAAGATAAAATTTCCAACGGGGATTTACCTCCAAGAAGTTTAGTAGGAGTACGATTAATCAAGTATACTGCCGTTTTGACACATTCCCCCCAAAACTCAACGGGTAAAGAGGCCTGAAACATAAGAGAACGAGCAACATTTAAAATATGACGGTGTTTGCGCTCGACCCGACCATTCTGTTGTGGAGTACCAACACAGGAAGTTTGTATACATACACCCATAGAGTCATAATAGTGGCGTAAAGAAGTATTTAGGAATTCAGTGCCGTTATCAGAACGAACGACCTTTATGACTTTAGTATATTGGGTGTGAATCATTGAGAAAAAACGTTGGAGACATGAAGTAACTCACTCTTTGTAAGAATAAGGTACACCCAAACAGCCCTGGAAAAATCATCCACAATGGTGAGAAAATAATGAGCACCAGATGACAAACAAGCAGTATATGGCCCCCACAAATCACAATGAATCAAATCAAAAACGGCTTGAGCTTTATTATGACTAACAGAAAAGGAAGACCGAGTTTGTTTGGACATAAAACAAATCTCACAGGTTTGAAGTTTCTTGACAACAGATTGGGATTTATTAAAATTAAAGAAAGAAAAAATATCAGGTGATGGATGACCCAGTCGTTGGTGAAGGAGAAACGGATCAATTTGAGCAGCACTAGCTGACGCAGGAAATGAAGCAAAGTGATAAACTCCGTTCTTCAGTTCACCCTGTCCAATCACCATCTTCGACGAACGGTCCTGTATTACACAACCATGAGCATTAAAAATTACATGACAAGTAGTATCTCGTATCAAGCATCCTACAGATATTAAATGGCAGTGCAAAGTAGGAACAAAAAAGACATGATGAAGCACCAAATGAGGAGATAACCGAACACATCCCTTCTTTGTAGCTTGAATACGAGATTCATCAGGTAGACATATGGGACGAGGAGGTACATCCATTATATCAAACAAATGACCCCCGTCATATGGTGAGAGGCACCACTATCAATAAGCCATTCACAAGAAGAGAATAATTTACCCGAATATGTGTGTGAGGCAGAAGCTTCCAACATAGACATGAGACGGCTCATCTGATCACTAAGAGCACCATTCGTATCTCCCGAGGCAGCATGCACTGCCGCGGCAGGGACAGTAGCCGACCCACTGCCACGGCCGGACGGAGCAGTCCCACTGCCCGTGCCACCACCAGGTCCGCGGCCTCCTCTACCGACGGGTGGACCAGCCCCACGGCCACCACGGGTTGCTCCACCACGGGTACCTCCTCCACGACCGTACTGAGATGGAAAACCGATTAACTCAAAACATGTTTCCACATTATGATTAGTCCGTCCACAATGAGAACATAACAATTTGCCAGACGAGTATGGACGGCGATCCGACTTAGCCGCAAAGGCAACTGAGTCTGTACGATCATCACGAGCACGCACAATGTGCTGGTGACGTTCCTCCTGAGAAACCAGATAATAAGCACGGTCAATGTCTACCACAAGTTCGGTTCCAAGAATTTGGGACCGAATGGAACCAAACTGTTCATCATCCAAGCCGAGTAAAAAATCAATGGTTTTGTCTCGTTCAATACGAGCACGCGTGAGGGCAGCCGCCTCACACTTGCAGCCGTTGGTGGGATCAGATGTACCATTGAGTTGATTCCACAAAGTGATGAACTGATTGTAATAGGAGACGACCGTTTGACCCTTTTGCCGCAAGGAATTCAACTCAGATTTTAACTGGTACACACGAGGACCATTAGAACAACTGTAACGCTTCTTCAAAGCCTCCCAAAGCACAGATGCAACAGTATGAGAAACAATACTAGGTTGAATCGACTCATCAACACTGTTGAAGATCCAACTACAAATTATTTGATTATTGGCAGACCATGCAGATAACTCATGCTCATCGGTGGGTTGGGGAATACCACCGGGGGACAAGAATATAGATTTACCACGACCACCAAGTGCATTACGTATCGCCTTTTCCCAAATATCAAAATTATCACTTTTTAAAAGATATTTGGTCAAGGAATTACTGGGACCTTCGGAAGGGTGTAGATAATACACGGACGACGGATCATGAATTAATCTTGTTTTCTTAGGGTTACCTTCGGCTGACATGGTGAGAAGATGACGCACGACCAGTGAAGACAAGAGCGACGACGGCGAGACAGACTACCGGCGACGAGAGACAGACCTGACCGGTGGCGAAAAGAAACGGACGGCGACGGGACGAGGAGCAACGGCGACAGTGGACAGATGACTTCTAGGGTTTTACATAACTTCCCAGAAAAGGCTCTGATACCATGTAGAATTTTATGAACTGAATCGGTTGGTTATTTCATTGATACGGCAAAGTATATATACAAGAGTTCCGGGCCCAACATGACAGGCCCAATATACAATAATATAATATAAACATATATACATAATACTGCTAACAATACACTAGTTAAATAGTCCATATGAAACTGTGCTTTTTTTAAATCATGTACTCCGTATAAAAAAATAGAAAAAAATTAGAGAAATAGATCTAAGATCAAAAAAAATCTTGTGATTGAAAAGCATCACATTCATAACTTTTATCTCTTTTGTTTTTTGGATTTTAGATGTATATCTTTGAATTTTTTCTATTTTATTTTCTATAAATAATTTCAATAGAATGCACTTACATGCTCCATATTTAGTTAGAGTACAATCAAAGGTTTGGATTCAAAATAATTAGAATAGTTCAAAAAAATTAAAGAAAAATAAAACAAAAAAACAGAAAAATATATCATCATTTTTTGAAACTATTTTTAAAAAATAAATTTAAGATTTAAATAGAAAAAAGTCAGAATTAAAAATAAGTTATATACATGTTAAGATCATTTAATTTTAAAATTAAACTTTATTGAATTTGTATGTTACTTGTCAATTGAGGGGTTCATTTTAAGTTAATAATGACATATTTCTCCATCAATGATTTTTAAGGATTAAAACTTACTACAATTTTTATTTTGATGGTTATTTGATACTCCTCCGTCCCCCATAGATCTTCTCAACAGCTCTTTTTCATTGTCCACAATAGATCTTCTCATTTCATTTTTTTACAATTAAAATACGACAACTACCCCCACTTACTTTATTTATTACACCTCACCCACCTCATTTAATACACTCCACCCATTTTTCATTAAGGGTATTATGGTAAACTTTCACCTGTTTTCAACTCTTCTTAAAAACCACCAAAAGTCAAAATGAGAACATCTTAGGGGGACGGAGGGACTATTAAAAAGATATGAAAGATTTTAAAGGATTTTTGTGTTAATTTCTAGCTAAAAAAGAAACATGTGGAGTGCAACTAACATTTGTGGAGTGCATTTATCAATTCCCTTAATTCTTACATCTGCAAATATAAAAATAAGGCCTAGCCGACTCTTCCATTTGAAAAATTATTGTTGCCTAGATAAGTCTAGTTTTTATGGTGGATACGATATGTCAGACGACTTTATCCTTGTTTACACAGGTCTACTTTGCAAGTAATGAACAAACTGTAAATTAGAATAGAGGGAAAATGAAGTTTTTTAGAGACATCTCAAAAAAGAAAATAATGAATTTTTTTTAAGCGGGGGTAAGTTCAATTCATGGAAGCGATATCACTTTCCCGTCATCAACGATGGAGTAAAACATACAATTACTATATCAAGGTCACGAGGGAAAGTGCACGAAAAGCAAGTTTGTGTCCAACTTGCATGTGACTCTAGCATTACTCTAAAACAAAAGTGCAACAAAAATGTCGTTTTTTTCAAAATGTTGATTCTATGAATCAGCGTATTCCAATAAATATTTTGCACCACATAATGCTACTCCAAATGACATTTCAGCATTCAAATATACTCCTAAAATTCTGATAAAAATTTCTACTTAAAAACAGCATTATGCTATTCAAAATGCAAGGATCCAAACAATCCCGCTGCATTAACGCGGCATCTTCCAATGTTTCTTGTCAAGTGTGGCAATCCTTAGCCATCTGTTACGATGAGACGTCCCTTGCCCCTTCCGGTACACCCCCCCGCCTTCTGATACATATTTTGGCATCTCCCTAGTACGTGAGATGTCGCAATCAAAATGTCTTTGCTTTGAAAGCACACATAACAAAATTGTAATTGCTTTAGCAACACACAATCAAATTGTATTTACATTTGTAGAGGAAAATGTTAACTGGAAAATTAGAAATTGCATTAGTCAATGCAACCATTATTTGCTATAACAACACGCATAATTAAAGTGGACTTGCTTGAAACTTAAATAACAATAAATTACTCTGTAGCTGGGCAAGTGCTTTAACACATTAGCTTAGTACTGAGTGTTAACATTCTGTGAAAATTAGGGTCGTCTACAACCCCTATGAGCCTTCTTACAGCTTTGCAAGTAATGTGTTGAAGCAGTTGGCCTTAGCGGAAATTTCAGTGTTTTATTTCTTACACCATAAGAGAATAAGTTCAAGAACTAAGTTACCCGATTGAAAAGCCAAATATCTTTTTTTCTTCATTCAGTTCCATTTGCCACAATGTAGGGTCTTTCCAACAATAAGCATGGGAATTACTTTTTACGGTTTTGAAATGTAAATTCGAAAGTGATCATTTTGCTAAAGGCTAATATATTCGCATGAATAGGCCGCAGGCAATCCCATAACATAAAAGGAATAAAATAAACACTAACCACAATTGTGTTCAGAAAATTACTGCATGAAGAATTAGTTCATATCTCTGGCTGCATTTTTTCACATTCCTCCCTAATTGACTGGAAAAGTAAAGTTGATAGGTCCCGCTCCCCAAAGCTAGGGAAAACAACCTACAATAATCATTTAAGATTGTAAAATTGAATGTTGAATCTAATCCAGTTTGCAGAAAAACTGTGTATCTGGAGAATATAAAGAGTAAGAGACTAATAACTAAAACAGGACCTACCGCAATAAGCTTTCCGGCATTCTTAGGTCTCTTAGCAACCTTCATTGCAGCTGCTGCAGCTGCTCCGGAAGAAATGCCCACCTGATCATTAGACAGCCCAAAGATGTCAAAATAAATTCTTGAATACCCGCCGCTCATTGAGAGCTAAAGCATCGGCTAACATTGTTACTTCATGTTATTATTCTCCATGGAAAAAGCCAATATGTCTCTCCCCTATTATCATGAACAATTGAAAATTTCCCTTGTGTTCTGAAAAATAAGGAAAGCACTAACCAGCAGTCCTTCTTGAAGTGCTAATTCCTTGGCAATCTGTATAGCTTCATCACTTGATATCTTAAACATATTTAATGAAAAAAATTCAGTACAAGGAAGCAGATATAACATATGGTTTCATATAAGGGGTTTATGCAGCTCATCTCAATTTGAGGTACATGAGCTTAGTCTTGACGGTTACACAGGAATAAGGTGTGGTCGCATCATGGCTGGTTTTTAGACTTTAGCCTCACAAGTTTTTTTTAAAAGATAATTAGTTTGTGTTATTGATATTATTATAACCAAATCTATTATAATGAAAGCTTATAAAATATTCTAAAGCCATTTGTCCGAATCAGCAATCTCATTGGATTATAGTTTCACACAACTTCACAGCTTAATCAAGCCTTAGGCCAGACTTCATAAAGAATACACGCCCACACACGGCTTTTCATTCTCTCATAAGCTTCACGACTCTCCTCTTTTCTGCAGGTGAGGATTCAGCTTTTTTTGGAGTACTGGATCTGAATGTTCTTTCAATCTAAAATTCTTCCTCCTATGGATCCTATGTTTCTAACAGTGTGATACTAGGCCCCACCATGCTAGGGCAAGAAAAATAGGATAGCCCAAGGACAAATCAATGTTCAACCATGGCTATCATAATAATATTAAGCCTCAAACATAAATATTCTACCAACTCTATCCAATTTTCCATCCTTATTTCACTACTCAAAAGCATATTGTGGGGAGATAAGATGTATAGAAGGCAGAAAGCCTTGAATAGTACTACATTTGTCCCTAAAAAATTCGTGAGTTGACTTTCACGGAGTTTAAGAAAAAGTGAAATTGTACGGAGTTTAAGAATGAGACATTTATTTTGGGACATCAAAATAAGGAAAACATGACATTTTTCAAGGATGGAGGGAGCATTTCTTTCCTCTAATGTGCAGTCTCACAGGTTTATTTAATGAAATTCACTGCTCAACCAAGAAAATAAACCTGCAGGTGTATGAGGTTGAAGTATGCAACAAGTAAGCCTTATCCCAAGTATTGTTGTTAAGTCGTTGCCTAGTCCCCAAATAGTCATCCGAGCATTTTGGAAAGAGCGACTTCACTGTCACCTAGTGCTTGAATGAGACTACTTGTCCGGTTGTGCAAATCGCCGCATCGGCGACCCTAGTCACCAACTAGTGAGTGTTTGTAGCTCTACCCAATTTTGCCCAACCCAACCCAACCCAAATTTCAATTAATTTTAAAAAATTATTAAAGCTCCTTAAAAACCTTCGGCGCATTGCTGCAGCACATCGCAACTCGACAGCGAGTCGCTTACCCTTTTTCTCTTCCACAAGATTCTGGTGCAATAGCATTGGAGACCACAATAGAAAAAAGTCGTCACAGTGGCATAACATTGGATTATAAATATTTAATATCTCATAATATGAAATAAAAAAATTGACTATGTTATTTTTGTGGTTGTTATCTTTGTTGGGTATTAGTCTTGAAGATTGAGGGATACTTGGGTCTTACACACTCTTTGTTATGTTTGTTTATGTGCTTTTCGATATAATTTTGTTATGACAATGATATTAATATTCTATTGATGCCATCATCGGTCATTTGAAAACAGCCGCTCTATGTTCATTACATAAGGGTCATGTTGTGTGTGTGATTACCTGTGGTGCTTGATCCAGGGGTCTCTTTGGAAACAACCTCTCTACTTTCGAGTAGGGGTAAGGTTTGCGTACAGTCCCCGTACACACACCCACCCAAGACCCTACTATTGTGGAATTCAATAGGTTTGTTGTAGCTGCCATTTCTAACAATGTTCAATGACATCATTTCTTATTACATCCATCCAAATAATAGATTCCACTTCTACATGTATCAATTACTTTTATTAAACCATTTCATCTATAGATGCCACTTCCACACATTTTAGTTACCTTTATTTTCATAATATTACACCCTTAGTAGTCCAACACTTTGTACCATATAACGGTGATGATCAAATAGTGGTTTTGTATATTTTCCCCTTTAGCTTCAAGAGTACATCATGGCCACAAACAACTCAATTTTCCTCCACTTATCCCACATTCCCACCCTGCCTTTACTTGATGTTTAACACTCTT